ACTGTTGAGTCAAGTATACAGTGACTTCAACCGTTGAGTCAAGTATACAGTGTCTTGACGTCTGGATTTTGTGTAGACAGCTGATGTTTTTACCCACCGCGCGCGCTGCCGTCGTGACACGGCACCCCACCCCAGGCAATGAAGCGTAGGCAGTTGATGCAGTGGCTGCAGTGCATGCATGCGGACACCGGCAAACCAAGCTCTGCTACATCAGTCCTTCAGTCGGCGGCCATTACTTGAGGAAAAAAACAAGGGCACCTCACCCACCACCATTGCAGTCGACGGGCAGCAAACAGTAGGGTCGGTCAGCCAAACACACAGGGCACGCCTGAACATCACAGGAGCCGTTAGAATCGCCGCTCTACAACGGACCGACCCAACAGATGATGCATGTTGGCAGTCCCTTTCAAAGAAACTGTGATCTGGGTTTGGTGCGGTATATATACTCCCTCCGTTTTAAATTACTCGTCATGGTTTTAGTTCAAATTAATATACTCCCTTCGTTTCAAATTACTCGTCGTGGTTTTACGAGTAATTTAGAACGGAGGAAGTATATATGACTGTTTGGATTGTGACTATCTTTGCCATATATTGCCACATAATTTTTATCATATTTGTCACACTTGCCTTAGTTGAGTTGCTTAAATTGTTAGCCACACTTTGGCTTTTCTAAGAGAATTTTACCATACTTTTTGTGTCTATTGCATGTGGGGTTCACTGCTCATAAATAAATCCTTGCCTTAGGTGTGGCTAGAACCAAACACCTATCTAACTTGATCAAACTTGCCTAAGTTTAGGTGTGACAAAATGTGGCAAAGTGTGGTTGGAAACCAAACAGCCTCGACAGCACATCACACTTCTGTTCAGTAACATCACCTTGACAAGCTGAATCAGGCGGAGCTCGTGAGCATCTGTCAAGCTACAGGGTGTTTGCTGACTGTCAGTAACACTAATTCAGACTTGTGTTCAGTAAAAATTGTAGGAGCAGGAGCTGACTGTCAAGCTACAGAGTAGTGTTTGCTTGCCCTGTAGAGTGTAAAGCCACTTCTTCCTCGATCAGCAAGCAAATGTGACTTCTTCCATCCTACACTTCCTTGAGCTCGCTGTCGCTGCCGCTGCCGCCGGTGGAGCTCCACCTCCATTGCCTTCTCGACGCCGTGGTCTTCGTTGAGCAGTTGAGCTCGAGGTCTCGGCTGCCGGTGAAGCTCCGTTGTCTCCCCTCCCGAGCCCCGTCTTCTTTGAGCTGGACACTCTCGAGCCCTGCGTCACTTTCTCGGACACGTTTGCAAAAACATTTGTAGATGACCCCCCCCCCCAAAAAAATAGCCATGCGCATGTGTCGTGCGCCGGTACCATCAGACGATGGCGGCCGTGGGTTGTTGATCTTTACCAAGTTTTTTTATGTTGCTGAATGTGCATACCGCACATGCCACCGCTACGGCAGGAGCCTGATCTGGCTCGTGCTTTGTCGGGTGTGCTTCCATTTGGGCACATTCTAAGCTTCACCTACTCTTCTTATGAAGTGGTCGCCATTCGCCCGCCTCCCCGATGTCCATGTCCAGCAAGCAGGTCATTCAGACTTGTTTTCCCTCAACAGAAGGGCAGGTGCACGGCCGGGAATGGGCAAGCGGCATTAGGTAGTTCAGAACAAGAATGCACCACAGCCCATCAATAAAAAAATCGATCACATGGTGTATTTTCAGATAAACAAAAGTCTTCGCAGGCCTTGTGAATCATGGGTGTGTTTGGTTGGGTGCATGAAGGCTTGTGGTGCTACCGGACACATTAGCATATATTTTAAAAGGTTTCAAAAAATCTAGCACATTGGAATGACATCAATGTATTTTGTCATAAATGTTTATATTCAAATTTGAAAAATTGCTCAAGATACAAAATTGACAGATTTAACATCGGTGTGATGATGGGCCAAATCTAATGCCCAACTTGTGTTATGTACTATTCAGTGTCGAATTTATATTTTTTGCATCTCAAGCTATGTTTCGAATTTTGATACGATTTTTTGTGACAAAATACATTAATATTATACAAATTTTCTAGACATTTCCAAAAAAAAATTGAAATATTTGAAAATGTGCTAAGGGAGGTCGGTGCACCGGTAGCACCAAGTGCCCCGGTGCACCAGATATGTTCTCGAGGTGCATAAGGGCAAAGGTTCTCTACTCAACCCACTTTTGTGTGTCTGGTAGCACGGTGCCTCCCAAGCATGCACGAGCTCAGCTCAAATACCCTCGTGCCATGTACGAAGAGAGAATACAATAATTCACTGATCAGCATGCACGAGCAAAGCGAGCGACCACATGTTTAAAAAAAAGTTTTGAAATTCAATTTAGAAAAAAATCAAGAAATTTTTTACATTTTCGAAAATTATTGAAAATTTGAAAAACAATGCTCAGAAATTCAAATTTTGTTTAATTTTCAAAAAATGTTCAGACTTTCAATTTTTGGTAAATTTTCAAAAAATATTCAGAATATCAGAAAAAGTTCAGATTTTGAGAAGAAACAAAAATAGAATTTAAAAGAAATTCCATTTTCAAAGAATGTTCAGAATTCTAAAAATAATTTAGATTTTCAAATACTCATATTTTCAAAATTGTTTAAATATTGAAAAAAATCAAAATTTCAAAACATGTTTAAATTCTAGAATATGTATAAAATTTCAAATTTCGTTTAAATTTCCAGAATATGTATAAAATTAAAAAAAATAAACAAAGTCTCAACTCGGCATGTCTCAGCACATACACCACTACCAAACAACATCAAATGCATGTACTTAGCATGTCTACACTCAGCATGTATCAGAAGAGGAGAACAACCATGCTAGGTTGAGAATGCTACCAAACACCGTCACGATGAGCCACTCAATGGAGAGTGGCACGTGAGCGTACCCTCTCTTTGTTGTTCTAAATGTGCTATAGCCAAGTCAGTGCCTCCCTCAGTGGTGACATGCCGTTCTTGCAGGACAGGTATATATACATGCATACATACATAATGCCTTGTGTACGTAACATACGCGCCTTGGCGGCTAGGAGGAGAGGTCTCGGAAGTCATGAGCGCCTCATCTCCGCGCAGGCCCTGGAGGTAGGACCGCGTTGTCGGCAGAAGCACCTAAGGAAGGGCTGGAGGCGAGCCATCAGAACTCACGGGAGCGAAGACTCCACTGCCGACGGCGAGAGGGAGGAGGGAGGTTATAGCGAGGTGGATATCAAGGCCGGAGTGGCCGTCGACAAAGGTAGGTGGGCATGTGGGGCCGCAAACAATATAAGAGTGTTTAGATAACTAAAATAGTAATCTAAATGCTCTTATATTAGTTGACATGTGGGGCCGCAAACCTGACGGCCCACATGCTAGTGACCATAAGTCACCTGACGTAAGTCAGCCAATCTGAGCCCATGGCTGGATGACACCGGCATAAGACCAAACCATCAGTCAGCAGCCATCCGGACTCCAGGAAATAAGTGTCAGTCCATGCACAACAAACAGTAGGGTCAATCAAACATACAGTACATAACAAGAGCCGTTAGAATCGCCGCTCCACAACAGACCAACAACAGATATATGCACAATGATGAGGTCGCAAATTAGAGACTCTCGTTGATTGATTAGCACCAGAGAGATTCCCTTCCCAGTGAAAGCAAGCATTTATTTATTTATTTTGAATGAAAGAGGTTTCCCTCTGATTTCATTAATGAAACCAAAAGCGAGCACACACAAACGAGGTTCATCAGGTTTCATCACAGTCGCATTGAAACTGCACTAAAGCTAAGGGCTACCCCGCCGCATGGGAATTGGGAATACAAAAGAGATGCATCGCATACATCATTTTGCCAGAGAGTTATTCTCCCACAAGTTGAAGATTACAAAAGAGAGGAAGGTATGTCTTCTTCGCTGGTCTCAGCCCTCCAGCCGCTCAACTCCCAGTCTCCACCCCTGCGTCGCCTTGTATATTATTGGCGTGGCAGTATGATGATACAAGTACATGGCCAGGCAGGCTTTTGTTCCATAATGTAGTGTGCCCGCGCTTATAGACAGGATCACACTTGTGTTCACTAACACTAATACAGATAGTCAGCTAGTTATACTGCAGTGCAGAGCTTCCACCACATGTTATTGCAGCAGCAGAGCAGAGTATGGCATGCTGTTCCGCCATACACATCTCCAGTTAGCTTAGCAGCACCGAACCGGTCGGGAGGCAGACAGGGAGCAAGGAAAAAGCCCGACAAATGTTGTCTTGTTAGGCTGGTGCTGGAACACACCAACCAAATTACCACTCATTCATATTCATTCATTCATTCATTGCCACATTTCTTCTCTTCTGTTTGGCCATCTATCTCGGCTCGACGACTCGTCGGCCGCAAGCAGGCCGGGTCTCCAGCACGCTTCTGTTTTGGCACTTCACAAGCTGAATCAGGAGGAGCTCATGAACCTCTCACACAGATGGCCCTATTCGCAGAGCCTTCTTTCACAAGGTGCATCAGGAGGGTCATAACACACAATGGAATGGTTAGATGAACAAGACTCCCTACATTTTGCAGCCAAAACTGTAGGAGCAGAGCTGCTGGCAGACGAGCCTCCGGTGCCCTTTTTGCAGCACTTCGCAAGGTGAATCAGGAGGAGAGCAACACGGAACATAACGGTTGGTTAGACCAACAGGACTCGGTATCATTTTGCAGTCAAAACTGTAGGAGGAGCGGCTGGCTGTCAACAAGCTACAGGGCAGTGTTTGCTTACCCTGTACCAGAGGAGGCACCACCAGCCACTTCTTCCTGGACCAGCAAGGAAATGTGACTTCTTTCAACTCAACTAGGGATCTAACAACCAGACTAGCCTACCTAGCATAAGACCACATAGTACAGACCAACAGCGACCGGTCGACCGGCTCCAGCGCCCGGCCTTCGACGGTCCAGGATAACTAACAACAGACAGACAGACAGACAGTAAGCTGGAGCACAAGTTACAACACACCATGGCTGGCTAGCTCATCAGGACTTCCCCAGCTCGGATGACGGCAGGTCCCACACGTTGATCACTTCTGGCCAAGAAAGGGAAAGAAAAGAAAACATTATTAAGGCGGAAGACATGGCCTGAAAATAACTAGCAGCGAAGCAGATCTGTAGAATTCACTCCCCGCAGCCCAAGGTTCAGTTCTGTTGAATAAAGCATGGACAAGAAATGAACAAGCATATGTTTTGGCACAGGCACACAGGAAGATTCATGGTTGACAAACTAGTCACCGAGCATGGAAAAGACTACCAAGAAAAGTTGTTTCAGTAAGCGGTAAACACGGCCTGAAAATAGGAGATAACATAGTTGCAGCACCCTGGCAGAAACAAGATTTGTAGAAACTAGATACCGCATCCCAGGGTAGGTTCAGTTAAACATAGCATGCAGGATACATGAACAAACATAACTGTAGAGTTGTTTCAGTAAGTTAGCACAGGCACACGTACAGGAACCCAGGACGAAAGCCAAGACAAATTGGCAAACTAGTCACCAGGTATGGAAAAATATATAGATCATCGAATGGGGGATATGGCGCAGCCGTATTATAACACATACAGACTAAGCAGAAAAAGAGCAAATATCTTTGTACGGAACTGAAAATGTGCTCTGTAAAAGAATAACATGGTATTCATATTCCTATGCAAATAAAACATGGTTTTCATATAAACAGAAAATAATGGAAAATAGTCGGTCCACCTAAAGAAATGACCTGCGCTTATATCACTAAATGACATGATGTTGCTGTAATCCATGTGGGCATGCAAATGACTCTTGGAACCATTTCAGAAAAGAAAATTAAATAATGCCTCCAGCAGTACAGGCAGTACAGGCAGCTATCATGCATATGTGGCTTGGTCCAAAAGTTCAACGGAATATCAGCATACATATTAATCGAGCAGCCAGGAATGTGCACCCAAGTTAACTAATCTACACAAGCTTCATCCACATATATATATGGTAAAAATTTGAGACAAACCAGGCTGGCAACGCTCCAGTTTCAGCAAGAACAAACATAAAAGCTGGGAAAGGAAATTTGCACATTTCCAGAAGTGAAGTGGGAGAGCTTACCTAATGGTATCTTGTCAAACGCACCACCATATAGGACGCCATCATCACTGGGAATTCCCTGGTGAAATGAGAAACTGTTTAAATATCTTACTTAAAGAGATAACGACAAAAAGGTATGAATACAGGACAGAAATGCAATGCTGGGGATCACAGTTAGAGAAGAACAATGACGAAGTGCGGTACTGAGAAATGCCAATAAGAGCATGAACAGACTGATTTGGTAATTACCCCTTGAGCATGTGACTATATGGGCAAATCATTGGTGAGAAGCGCAACCCCTAGTATTAAAGAAAGTTGTACAGTAACAGTTACCCTCTCTAGCTAGTTTACTGGCTGCACGAAGAATAATGAACGAAAATGAGGGCACAGATATATTCTTTCAAAACAGCCATCTCACCTGTGCATTGACAGCTCCCATCCCAGTCCACCTATTCCCGGAATGTGGTGGAACCGATGAAGAAGATGCTGGGATGTTAGTCTGATGGTCAGGAAAGCTTGCGGCTTGCTCGTCTTGAGAACACATACGTTCTGGCAGAAAATTATCCACGTGTAAGGCATCACTTCTGTATAGTGGACATGTTCAAATGTAAAAGATTGCCCTCTCCCCCCCTGAGATTTGCGACAAAAAGAATGATGAAAGAAAGCTTACTTGGTTTCTAAGAACTCTCTGGTACCAGGCTGCTCTGCATAATCATCATCATCGTCGTCGTCATCCAAATTAATTATAGGAATCATCATTTGGCCATTGTCCAGGCTGCGAAGTGTAGCTTGTCTCTTTGCAGCCCGGTCCATTTGCCCATCCTTCAACTGGCCCCCATCAACTGCAGATTTATTAACTGAATCATCTGTTAGTAGCATCTGTTCACCGTTCAGATCACAATGATCCAAGTCATGCACAACTGTAACATGATCTAGAAGCATTTGTTCCTCCTTTATCTGGTGATTAACGTCTGCAGCACGATCAGGTAGGAATTGCTCATTCTCCACCTGCTCCTCCCCATCTTGCTTTAGCATTGTTTCCTCATTGTTTAAAAGCATTTGCTCGCCCTCCTGCTGTTGATCACCCTGTCCATGCTCATCGGCTATCTGATTTATAAGCATCTGCTCGCTGTTCTGGTAGTTCTTATCCAAATCATGCATGACAATACCCTGATTTAGAAGCACCTGATCATCCTCGAACTGTTGGTTTTCATCTGCACGTTTATCTTGAACTTGAGTATCTGGAGGATCAGAGTATGCTTGCTGACTCATCTGACCAACTAAATCAGGCAGAGAATCAGAAGCATGTTCTTCAGGAGGATCACCGGGAATCTCAGTCACTTCACAGCTCTCACGAGTTCCGTCGACATTGAGGTCAAAAATTTGATACCAAGCCGGCAGCTCTTCTTCATCTCTAGTAGGATCACCATCAGCAGCTTCAATTTCAATTTGTGGAGTTTCCTCGACAAGTTCAGATTCATGTTCAGTTTGCGGAGCCTGCATTTCACCTGCCACTTGAAGTTCAGTTCCAAGCTCAATTTCCATTTGTGGAGTTTCCTCGACAAGTTCAGTTTCAGGTTCACTTTGCAGAGCCTCCATTTCACCTGTCACTTGAAGTTCAGTTCCAAGCTCAATTTCCCTTTGTGGAGTTTCCTCAACAAGTTCAGTTTCAGGTTCACTTTGCAGAGCCTCCATTTCACCTGCCACTTGAAATTCAGTTCCAAGTTCACTTTGCGGAGCCTCCATTTCACCTACCACTTGAAGTGCACTTCCAAGTTCACTATGCAGAGCCTCCATTTCACCTGCTACTTGAAGTTCAGCCTCAGGTTCACTTTGTGGAGCCTCCATTTCATAGGCAACTTGAAGTTCAGCCTCAGGTTCACTTTGTGGAGCCTCCATTTCATCGGCAACTTGAAGTTCAGCTTCAGATTCACTTTGTGGAGCCTCCATTTCACTTGCAACTTGAAGTTCAGCTTCAGGTTCACTTTGTGGAGCCTCCATTTCACTTGCAACTTGAAGTTCAGTTTCAGGTTCACTTTGAGGAACCTCCATTTCACCTGCAACTTGAAGCTCAGTTTCACGTTCACTTTGCGGAGCCTCCACTTCATCGGTACCTTGAAGTTCAGTTTCAAGTTCACTCTGCGGAGCCACTATTTCAGCTGCAACTTGAATTTCAGTTTCAGGTTCACTCTGCAGAACCTCCATTTCATTTCTAACTTGAAGTTCAGTTCCAAGTTCACTCTGCAGAGCCTCCATTTCACCTCTAACTTGAAGTCCAGTTTCAGGTTGACTTTGCGGAGCCTCCGTTTCACCTCTAACTTCAGAACAACCACTGTTGTCAGCCACTGGTTCAATCAGGCATGCATCCACACGCGCAACGCCCGCCTCCGTGTCCTCCTCGACGTCGCTGAGCTGGGGCTGCGTGTGCCCCGGTTCCTCATCAGGCTGTGATGGATGAACATCCACCATGGACAGTTGGTGGCTGGCATTTATTTCAGCAGCATCAGCATCAGCATCATTCAAGCCAGCAACAGCAGCAGCCTCATCGTCCTGACCATTGTCCTCTGTTTCCATCTCTTCATATTCATAGGTGACACCATCATCATCTTCACCATGATCATCTGATTCCACAACCTCCTCATACTCATACTCTGCCTCTTCATCTTCATGTCTGGCACCATCATGCTCTGGTTCCACCGCAGCTTCATCTTCACGGCCGGCACCGTCAGTCGCCTCCACCATCAGCACCTCCGAGCGAGGAATCTTTGGATCCATTGGCAGTTTATCGACATCATCGCCGTCCACATCACCGTCGCGGCTGGCAACAGTTGCAGGCTCTGCTGGCACCTTGCTCTGATCCAGATCGCCACTGCGTGGCTGATCGAAATCACCACCGCGTGGTCGCCAGTCTGGATCCCTCCGGCCGCCGCTGTAAGAGCTCCTGGGCCTGGTTCTGCTCCGGCTCCGGCTCCGGCTTCTACTCCTGCTTCTGCTCCTCCGCTTGCGGTCCAGTCTGCGGTCAACAGAGGGCCGGCGGTCATCGATGGGGGCCGGCCGGCGGTCGTCGCTGGAGGCCCGGCGGTCGTTCTGCGAGTAGGAGCGTGACAAGGCGGGTCTCCTCTTCTCGTCGTACGGGTGGCTCCGGCGAACGCCCCGGTCGGCATCACCGCCAGCACCGCGTCCGCCATCGCCCTCGTTGTACCTGCGTCTTCCGTCAAAGCTCTGGGTCCTCCGGTCCCAGCCCGACTTGGCCCGGGCTAGCCTGGCGCCGTCGTCCTCGTCCCTCTTGTCGCGGCCCCAGTCGGCGCCGCCGCCTCCTCCTCCGTTCCTCCGCCATCTGGGGTCGTCTCCGTCGTCATCCCTCTTCCTGGTGTAGCCGGCGGGGGCGGAGATCTCGGGGCGGGGGCTGGGGATGGGGTGCTGCTTGGGGTCGTCCCTGGCGTGGAGAACGTGGTGGTGCTTGGGGCTGGGGTCTTCCCGGGCGTGGAGAACGTGGTCGGGGAGGACGCCCTGCGCGACCAGGTAGTGGGCGGCCAGGCGGCCGGCCTCGAGGAGCACGTCGTTGCGCCAGCGCCGTTCGGCGGCGACGACCAGCGCGGCCGCCGGCGGCGGGAGGGGCTTCTCGTCCAACGCCAGCAGGCGGCGCGGGGGCGGCCGTTCGGGGCTGCTGCGCCGCGGCGGGGCCCGGCGCTGGTGGTGCTGCGGCCGCGGGGAGGGCGGCGGCAGGGGCGGGGACCGTCGGCGGTATCGTCCTCCGGATGACGGCGGCGGCGGGGCCGGCGGCTCGCGTCCGCGAATGCGCGACCTCGGGTGCATCGGGCCCTAGGAGGGACGGGAAAGCCTCCTCCTTTCCTCCGACGGGGGGCGGCGGATTCGTGGCGAAATGCGTTCGGCGAGTTTTCGGTCAGTCCGTCGGCGCGTTTCTCGGTCAGAGCGGCGAGATCTGCATCTGCGGCGTCGTCTGCTTGCGTTCTTCGTCGGCGGGCCGTGGCGGGGCGGGTCTCCCGGCGCGGCGGCGCGGCCGGAGGCGGAGGCGGAGGCGGAGCGAGGAGATTTGAGAGCGAGGGTTTGCTTTGTGAGTGGGGGTTGCCTCTGCCTATTTGAGCACACGCACAACCACACCCACACACCCGCTGGTTTTCACTGCGGCCCGTGGGCAGTTGCCCTTTTTTTTACTGCGTGGTAAACTGGTAATAATAGACCGATAATCACCGTCAAAATTACATTACATGGGTTAATTAGTTTAATCATCGGTGTGTTTCTAGTTAACAATGGCGATGTGAGGAGTGATGCCTCGTGTTAGGTTTGAGCCTCTCCCCTTCATCATAGATCCGGATATTTGCCGTCTCCAAATATTTTCGATATCATTTTCTATGACTAATCTTTCTACTTAAAAACCGATAAGAAACATAGTTTGATGAAGGGGAAAAGATGCTTGGAAAACACGAAACCGTTACCGGAGCGCATTTTCAACTGCCTAACTTTGGCCCCGAGGATCCGGCGCCCCTGGTTAGGGGTCTAGCGCCGAGAATCTGGCGCCCCCGGTTAGGGTTCTAGTTCGTCCATCTAGATATTTCGGATAAATTGGTAACGTATCGCCGTTTTCATTTTTTATTTATAAGTTGGTCTTGACGTGACTGTTGCCGGTAGGAATTATGGCGCATGATAAATGCTTGGGTAACGCCTCTTATCTGTGGGATTGCTGCCGGAGGCACCCTCGTCGTGATGCGGAACTGTGTTGGTACTTTCGTGTCGTTTTTTAGGGTGCTGATCATGTTGGCATGACCTGGCCTTGGTTTCGACGCCGCTCTAAATAATCGGATATTGGTGGCGTCGGTCACGTCACCGGTAGGAACCCGAAGGTAGATACCGACAATGTTGTCGATGCGAGGTGTACAAATCATGCCGTGTTACGAAAACCGGTATTTCTTTCCTTATCATTCCACCCACGGGGATCGATGTGGTCCTCCGAGGAAGAAATCGCTTGTACACATTTCGTATTTGCCTAGGACGCTCGTATGACTCTCGTTCTGCCATGAGTAGTGATGGTCTTAGGGGGTCTTCTTTTGAATTCGAAACAAACATATGCATGGAGGCTAGTCCGTTTCTGATTTTTGGGACCAAGAGGCAACGTGTTATCGTCTCTAATTTAGAAGCGGTCTATGAGTTGCCCGCTGCATATCGAAAGTGGTGTTTCATAGATTCTTTGGTAATGCCTCTTACGCACGGGATAGGTACAAAAGGCGCCATCTCGCGACGCGTGAATCCCGTTGATACTTTTGGCATCGTTTAACGTTGTGCGTTTATCGTGTTGACCTAACCGATACAAACCCAGGTGCGGACACCGGTGGTGTCGCCAATATAGACGACACAAAATTCTGCCGAAACCAGTGTTGATCAGATTCACAACTACTTGTGAGGTCCTCCGGTGGAAACGGGGTTTGTATTCACGCGTGCATATCTTATTTGTTCCAACCTCCTTTGTTTAGTAATTACTGAGATATTTGTATAGATTTCTTGTTTACTTATGGCATCTCCAACTCCGGCCCTTTCGTCTGGACCGTGTTGTCCGGATGTGTTTTGTCATCAAACACGGTATCGCGTCGGTCCATGGTGCGGTCCAGACGTCCGTTTTCCCGCAAACCGAAGGAAAACTAGGGGCTTTGCTAGAGTCCAGGCCGCCGCACGGAGGACTCTGACACTCCCGTCCCACTCAAACCGCCCTGCCAGTCCACTTTTTTTAACTCCGCCCCTACTACCTCTTGCTTTGTATCTATACCTTCCTCGTCCAATGTTGTCGCTGTACCTCCCCGACTGTCGCCCAGGCATCATAGGACCTCTACAACCCCCACCAACACGTCTGGCCTCCTTGGACTACGTTACCGTCCACCCTGGATCCCTCCGCAACTAGGTACCATCCGCCCCTAGCTGACGATGTCCATCGTGGACACCACGTCCTAGGTGTTTGTTCAAATGCCATTAAGCTTTTTTGTTGAACTTCTTGTTGTTTTCAAGAGTAAGCACGATGGTGGGTGCTCAGTGAAGGAGGATGAGTTGTTGTGTGATGCCTGGTTAGCCTTATCTACGGACTTTGTAGGCAGGAATTCAAGGGGCTTGATCTTTTGGCAACGCGTGCATGGCTCCTTTCATGTATAAAAGAACTTCACGCCCTACAACATACACATCATCCAGGAACACAAATGCGAAGTCGATATCGCATCGATGGTACACCATCCGCAACTCTGTCATGAATTTTGCGGTGCGATTGCACGAGTGGAGCACATTGTGGCCATCGCGAACCATGGCGATAGTACGTTTTGCTCCGTTGATCTTCGTGTTGTTTAATTTATTCATTCACTCAATGTTACTCTACACATTGTATAGACTGCACACGCTGCAGAAATATACTACATGCAGGTCATTCGCACACATATATTGTTAAATGAAATTTAAAGGGCAATATGTGTGGGAAGACTTGTGTCAGTTTTAAATAGCATCGTTGAATTTGTAATTGATAAATTGGAAAAAATCCTTTGTACATCATGTTATCGCAGATGTAGTCCTATTTACATTTGAACTAGTATTAGTGTATTAGATATACTTGTGTGTTATTTATGAATGAATTGTGCCATTTTTTTACGATTACTTTGAGTACTGCGGTAAAAAAGATAAAGCCAAATATTTAGACTGTTTGTTGGATCCTTTCGAACCACACTTTTTTCATTAGTGATGGTTGTTGTTCTGATGCGCTAGTTGATACGGTAGTAATATAACAATGTTTGCCGAGCTTCGATAAGGAAAAGAGATGGCCTTAGGCGCTGGTATGGACTTCTTTCTGGCGTGTCTTGTGCTCCTTGAGGCCCAAACAGTGCCAATGTGTCTGAAGAGCGCACCGAGATAGACGCTCAATCTAATCTGGGGAAGGATCGAGGCTGTGGAGTATGGGTCAAACTCAAACATGAAAGTAAGAGTAGAAGTAGTACGATGGACAGTTATTCGCAAAAAAAAAAGTACGATGGACAGTTGGGGTGTGACGACGCCACCGCACCTTGTGCCAAACAAATTAATAGTACCGCAAGCATTAATGGGCTTCCTTAAACAGAAGATGATTTCTTTTTCTGGAAATGGCCGAGGTGGGACCCACCGGCCAAACAATGCTACGTGTCGCCACTGGTCAGTCGGTCGTCTGACACGTACCTACGTGGCCCAAACGATCTGCCGCTGGGCCGCAACCTTCCCACGGCCCATGCAAAATGGAGCCCGCTGGAGAAGCAACGCTATCCTAATTCCCTTCTGGCTATCCTGAAAAAAAAACTACTTACTTGCATTCTCTCGCTTAAAAAAAGCTGCTTACTGCCAGAAGGTAAATGACCCGAGGCCTCCCTCCACGAGAGTAAAAAAGCTGCTTACGTTCTCAGGTGACAAGCGCGCGTGGAGGCGGCCATTCGGGCCTGCTGCGCCCCGGGAATTTTGCGTGTGTCTGGAAGATGAGCTACCCACTTCGGGAGATGTCCCCGCGCGCTTCTTGGCTACCTCGAGCGCCTTTGCACGCGTCATCCCACCGACCATCCTGAGTGAGTCCTCCGTGAAAACGACCTGAAGCAGTATTTCCTTAGTTCTGACCCTTGTTGGATGAGTTTTAGGTCTATTTAGTTTGAGACTATAAGGGCATCCACGGTGTGTAGAGGCAACCCAGCCTCTAAGGTGGGCCCCATACACCTGCCTCTAAGCCAATGCATCCTTCCCGCAATGTGAGCCTCTAAGCCCATGGGCCCACCAGCTGCCTCTAACCACCGAACACTCTTCCCTTCGCGCAAAAAATCCCCAATCGATTCCAATCCCTAGCGGCTGCAGGAACCACGCCATCGTCTCGACCGTCTCCGGCGACCAGGCGAACCAAATACCTCGCGCGAGGCCGGACGACGGAGGCGGTTGATCTAGCAGCTGGATGTGGACTGCTGGTGGTGGCGGGGGGTGCAGCAACTGCGCCGGCAAGTGCGTCGAGGCGCAGCCGCAAGTCTATTCCTGCTGACCAACTGCGCCGGCGATGCCGAGGAAGCGCTACGCTGATAGCGGCGGCAGCGGCGTTGTGCGAGTACTAGGCGCAGGTCTGGAGCATGGGCGGGTTCACGCGGAAGCACAAGGTGAGATGTGGCTGTTCATGGGTTCCCTGTACGTGAGTATGTGACTTTGTATTTTGGTGGCTTTTGAGCTGAATATAGTAGGGAATATCACAGATCTCCATTACAGCCTTCTTATATTAAACATTAGGAAAAATAAAAGATCTAGCAATACAAATATTTTGGTGGCAGCATACAGAGTACATGGTGAACAAATCTGGAATAAACTAGTCTAGAAATAAAATTACAAATTATTTGTTGGGCCTCTAATACGAGCTAAGGCTGACCATCCCCGAATCGTTGCCATAGATACTCTATCAAATCGCCTTTGAGTTGTCGATGTGTAGCTCGATCACGAATTGCTGAGCCTATCTCCAGCACTCTGGCAAATTCATGAATTGGCCCATGGTTCAGATTATCTATTTCGTTGTTAAAGGTACCCTGATCATAGTCATAGTCGAAGCAAACCTCATAGGAATCCCGCTCATCCTCGACTATCATATTCTGCAATATAACACATGCATACATGATATCAGCAATATCTTGCCTATACCAAAGATTAACCGGACCACGTACAATAGCAAATCGAGATTGTAGAACTCCAAATGCACGTTCAACATCTTTTCTTGCACCTTCTTGCATCTTTGCAAACAATTTTGTCTTGTCAGTTGGGGGCAAGCGGATTGTCTTCACAAA